GGGGGTGCCCGGACCGAGCCCCCGGGGGTGCGGCGGCCTCCGCCTCGCTCTGCCCTGCCCTGCCCTGCCGGGGCCGAACCGGCACAAGGAGCCCCGCAAAATCCTCGGCCTCGTCCCCCGCCCTCGGGGGACGGACGGGCACCGCTTGCCGCTCCTTCTCGGGGCGCTGCCTGCTGCCACGCTCCCTCAGATTCCCGAGGACGGGGAGAGCAAGGCACTGAACCCGAGAGAATGTGCGCCGTCGGAGGCGGGAGCTTTCCGCTGTCCCTCCTGGGGTTTGGGGAGGGCCACCCCAAACGCAGGCCAGGTCGGATGGTCTTCGTGGCCCGCTGGGTGTCTGTTAACGCAACAGAACCAACACAGAGCGAAAGCTGGTGCATCATCAGTAACGTCGGCATCAGTAGAACCGCTGAGCAATCTCCGACTCAAACCTGCCAGAAAGCAGAGGGGGGTACAGATACCACTCACATTTTTTCATGGATTTCACTGGGGGCAATGGAGTTGCACAGTTCACCGGATGTTCAGCGTGGCCTGACAACATATTTCTTTTGGGTGGAAATGGTGAAATGATTCAGATTAACTGCAGAATGAAGGCAGAGGTTGGAGGACGGGAAGGCAGGGGAAAAAAGCTTTTGTTTTGTTTTTCTCTGAACTTATACACGGTACTAGAGACGTGAGGTTCAAGTAAGCTTTGTAGCACATAACATCAACATCCTCCTACTACTACACAGGGCACCTCAGCACGTCTCCTCTGGTGCTCCCTGCCCAGCAGCTGTCTCAGCTGCCAGTCCACTCGTGTTCCCATAGGAATAGTATTAGTAACTTTAAGAACTCCAAACTTGGTACAAATGGCAAAGCTATCTGCAGTTTAGTAGGTACATAGTTAAGGAGCAGCATTAATGATATTCTTAAAACATCACAGGTGAAATTGTTGCCCAGTTAAGTCAAGGGGAAGGTGAGAATGGTATCCCTAATCCCTTACATTCTAGTTAGCAGTTTCCAATGAAGAAAATGGAGGCATCAGTTCATATTAGTTTGGTCCCATGTGTATCTAGACCAATTTAATTGAAAACCATAGAAATTTTTCTACTAATTGCAGTTTTGGAAAGCTTTGGGACACTCACAAGATCAAACAGTCCATCCGCTGACCTACAGATAATTCTAAGGTTAGATGTTAATTTTATTACCATTACCCACCTGAATTATCTGAACTAATAATATAGATGAGGATCTGAATTCTATATGAGAAACAGTACACACATCTGTTAAAGCAGGGAACAAGCACACCTGCCATGTCATAATTTTTTTATCATACCCCCAGCATTCACTTGTGTGGAATAAAGGCAGCATGCAGGAGTGCAGAAAGGCAGAAATGAAGTAGAACTAGAGCAAACAGTTTACAGCTCATGACTGAGACAACTGAGCACACACTGCAGTTTTTATGGCTGTAGCTTATCAAATTTATTATTGGAAAATGTTGAAAATTTCCATTAACCTGCTGTTTCTGTACTTTCTAGGTGATCATAAGAGCTTCTGGCAACATACTGAGAGGATGAAAGAGGCATAAATCCTTGGTTTAATACACATCACCTGAGAAACTTGCAGAAACAGCTGTAAAAATGTGAAGTCAATAGAGACTCTTCCGAGACCGTCTTTAACCAGCAATTTTACAGTGGCATAGACTTTGTAATGCTCAATATTATACTTCAGTTGTCATTTGCATTTATCTGCTGAAACATAATGTTGCATATCAGGAACTTTACCACACTGCTATAAAACTTATTATTAGATACAGTTGCTGGTTGATGGTAATTATTTCACTGTTCAGACACAGCTACAGGTTTTTCATGTTTTTCTGTGATTTAATTCCTGCTCTTACTGTCTTTAGCAAGTTTCTTGGCAGTTTTCCCAGCTGTTCTAACAGTCTCCTGGAAGAAAAAAAAAACATAAAGCAGTGTAGAAAGAAATATTGATAGTTTTTCTATTAAATGTGTATAAACGGGAAACTTCAGTAGTGAAGTACAAAGAAAACGAGTTTATCCTGGGATCTGATTTAAGGCCAAAACTAGAGACTCACACGTGAATAGTGATAGTACTAACAGGAATGAGGACCTCTGAGATTTGAGTTTCTTTCCCACTAGATACACACACACAAGTTATGCATACATCATTCTGAAAATATTTTGAATACAGTTTACCAAGCATAGTGTTTGTTGATGTCTTAGAAGGAGGAATGAGTTTTAACAAACAAAAGTAACCAGGCTATGAGATTGTCCAAGGTCTAATTATATAAGATAAATGAAGTATAAAACATTATTATAAGAGATTATGAGAAAAGGATTATACTAATCAGGAGAAAAATTGGCAAGACTTGCTAGTTTACAAAAATTACAACTACTTACAACTAATGAGAGGACACAATGTTACAGTATGGGTGGCATGTATATAGTTCTGGATGTTGAGGTTTTCTGGGCTAATATACCAAAGAACCTGACCATTTATTAACCAGTACATTGTTGGAAGATTTCCATGAAGAGGCAATTATCTGTCTGGTAGGAAGAAGTAGGGGATGGAGCACAGGATGGAGAGAATCAGAGCTTGCGATTACTAATGATTAATATTCAAGTTCTGTTCAAAATGGCCACCAGGTTGAACTCCCCTGCGTAGACACTGCAAACATGCAAGGAGTGAGAATCTTGCAACTCAGTGCAGATTACCCACAGTCATTTTTATCCAAATGTTAAGAATATTCAGGCAGTGGAGTGCTGCTGATTTCCAGAGCTATTTCACAGTTTATTCTGCCTTTATACTCTATATCAAAGAATTTTTCTGGAATAATTCTGTATGTGTTCAGGTTTAGTAGTCTGTTCATGGCATACAGATATTCCCTTGTCTGACAAGAAAACACTGATTCAGTGTATGGTATGTTTGAAGTTCACACAATTTTAAATATAGATGTTTCCTTAAGCCAAGTAGAGTTAATTCAGAACTGTGGAAAGACCAGTGTCGAACTGAAGAGTAATAGTATACCTCAAAGAATTAAAGTTAAGAACAAAGTTATCAAAATCATATAGAAGTCAAAGTTTAAAAAAAATTGGGATAGCAAAGTTATATGAAGCAAACAAAAACAACTAAACTCTGGCACCTGATATGAGTTCAAAGTGCCATTTATAAAAATGACTTGGGGAATATACCAAACACTACCAGGTTTTGACAATTTAAGATACCTACCTGCTGTAACTCTCCTCCTGCTCAATTATTAGGTAAAGCCTTAAGTTGTTTTTCATACCTTCAGATATCTGACTCTTAAAGTTCTGAATCATTTACATTTTACTCTGAGTCTCTAATCTTGTCAAATTAAACATGCCTGTGACTACTTGAGATATTTCTGTGGATAACTTTTTAACTACAAGAGTGGGTTGACTTCTCTGCCATTATATTTTGTGATTTTTTTCCTACATGCTGATGGTACTTTCACAAAGGAGCAAGGCAATCATTCCTAACATCTTGTTTTATGAATGAGACAATCATTAAAGCTTATTAAATAATTGTAGCTAGCTCTGGCCTGGAAAAAAAAATGAGGCTGAGTAAAAGATTATTTTCTACAGCTTCTCAAAAGAGGCTGGGATTTGGGGAATGGAAAGTCCTCAATCATTAAAAAGTAGTTACAGAATCACGTGGTTGTTAATGCCAGATTTAGGAGATGCGGATGCAGAAAGTTTGGCAAGACAAGTAGGACTTTCCTTGTGGTATAATAGAAGGAAGAAATTATAGCAAAGAAGAATCCACCATTTTGAGGAAAAGCCACAAGACTGTTGACATTTCCAGGGGCTCCAACCTGTGCCTCAAGCAACTTCAGGTAGCGAAAAGGTGGTCAGGGTTGAAGACTGAGTATAGGTGAATTTACTACTTTTTTGTCTGTATCTGTACTGGTCTTATGCTACTTTTTAAAAGAATTATGTTCAAGGATTTTTAATAGCTCTCTTAATAATTCTCTGGTGGTTTTCAGCCATCATCAAACTGTTTAAATGGGAGTGCTTTCTCTAAGATATATCAAGTAATGGCTTCATTCTGCTGAGAACTGGAATGTCCTGAGCTAGAATATTGAGCCACTTTTTGGTGTGGGCACTTGGAGATAATCCACAGGAAAGGAAGCAGAATCATTAGAGGTCTAAAGAAGTGAAAACCATGACCTGTACGGAAAGAGTGAAGATACTGGGGGTGTCCACAGCACAGAGGGGGGCATTGCCAGCAGATACTCAAGCATTCTTTGTGTCTGCTAAGGGTGCTATGGACCTATACCCAGAGCTATGAATTGTCGTAAGGAAAACATTCACGCAACTAGCTTTACCCACCCCCAGCTCTCGTGCCACATACTGTATTTACGCTGTGTGCTGAAGAGAATTATATTCGCATAGTGATACAGGTAAAGTTCTGAATGTCCCCGTACTGCAAAACATGTATCTAAGTCAGATGTTGGAGCTGGCCATTCTTTATTTGCCCTTAGGGCCATGGAGAGTCCGCAGGTCTGTGCCCACAGTGACCGAGAGCCACCACGGGGATTGCACTGGGAGGAAAATGATCTGCCACCTTCTCTCCCGCCCTTCCACTGAAGCTGTTCTGCAGACTCCAGCCACGCTAGTGTGACCGATGCGTTTGCTTTGGGGATGTGAGCCCAGTTATCCCCAAAGTCCACCATCAGTTATAGTTTCAGCAAGCTTTCCAGAGGAAAGGAAAAGGAAGAAGGGGAATAGTGAATGTCAGCAGCTGAGACCAGAAAATCCCAACAGAATTGCACAGGACAAAGAAAAAGCACTTTTACAGATTTGGAATTTTATCCCTGACCAATTTCAAAGGACAGCTC